AACAAACACACGTTCAGCTCCGTCTGCTCATTATTCACCACCATCACTGTAATATTTTATCATCAACATCAACACTTGAAGGTAATAAGAGGGGACAGTGGAGGTCGAGTCTGCAGTGTCTGCAGATTTTTAAAACACAGAGTTAGAAAAGAAAAACATCTCTCAGTGAAAGCAGCATTTTACAGTATAAATAAATGTAGCGTCATTATGCTAAGAGTGAACTATGCTGCCTGACACAGCTGCCTAAAAATGATAGAAACAGACACTTAAACTGAAGTTAGGACACTGTTGGGGTTTATCCTAAAGTTAGGACAGTATTTAGGAGGTTTAGTCTAGTTAGGATGTTTGTGAAATACTGTTTTCTTATCTGGAGTTAATGATGAGATGATGAAGTTAGGAACTGTTATTCTGTAATAGCTGCTGTCCTAAATTAAGTCCGTACTGAAGTCGTCATGGAGACTCAACAGATCAGATACTAGAGTAGATGGACCCTGGCTCTTTACAGGCAAGGGTCCGTCGCTGAGCCCAGAGTTTTATTTAGTTTTATGTAGTTACTGAATAATAAGCTGTAGTATGTAATAAGCCTGAGATTTTGAGGGTTTAAGATGTTTCTGCAGCTTTGGTTTAATCAGATACCAATAAATATGTAGGCTATTGTTTGTTGTTAGACTGACTTCACTGTAAAATATTCCTGCTTCCATACTGCTGGCCTGTGAACCTACATGTAACTTCGAGACAGAAACTTTAACACATCATAACTTCATCACGTCAGCGTCTGGAGGAATCTCTCACACTGCGTTCTGTCAGAGCAGCTTTGACTCATTTGTTTAAGATCAGTCAGCGTCGATCTGTTTTATGGTTCTTTACAGGCGTTCGTGGAACATTTGTGGTCTGATGTGGAGTATAACCAATCTAGGCCTAATCGTCCCTTCAAACGGCAGGAACATGACGCTGAGCTTTGATGACTACGAGGCGACAACTGACAGGAAGCAGAACAGGAGAGAGAGCCCGACTCTAACACAGGCTTATTAACCCTTACACATCTAGACTCGTTACTGTTGTATTTATATGTATTAGATTAGCGCTATAGTACTATTTAACCAGATCACTTGTCATAATAATAACTGTTATAACTCATACAGTGTAGAGTGAAATGCTATAAACCAAACATCGAACTTAAACCAACACTTTATTCACAGTTTACAGTGTTTTGTACAATGTAAAGTTAGAATACAGAGTGTTATTAAATAATAAGCTATATGTTTGCTGTTTATTCACAAAAACCACTGAATCTATTTGTGTAATTAGTGAGATTTAGTTGTGGGTTTTCAAATATGAGTCATTGTGGGTGTCAGTTTCTTTATCAGTTCATTCTCAATGCTGTACAGATTTCTCACTTATCATAAAATCCAAAACATCTTCATTTTTACAGCTTCATACAAAATGACTGAACCTTGTAAGAAATTCCTTTAATTATAGAATCATTTTATACACACATCTTCAAAGATATTTATTATATAACCATATATATTATATATGTGCGGTTATATAATAATATCAACAGGTTTCTATTGAGCCCTGCTTGTGACATTCTGTATAAGTAAAAATAATGTGTGGTCAAGATGTTTTAACAGATGGGAAAAGGATCCTAATGTGTGGCCATGACTTAGTAAGGTGTGGGAATGATTTAATTAAGTCATGGCCATGACTTTGTAAAGTGTGGGAACAAGATTATGTCGTATGCTGTGGTCAAGGCTTAATCATCTCATTCCTACGCCTTTCTAAGTCTTGGCCATGCATTAGAATCTCGCCCCCCGCCTTACTAAGTTGTGGCCACTCATTATTTTTATTTAAACAGCATGTCACCAGCAGGGCTCAGTAGCTTTGACTTTTTTGTGTATAATTTTTACATAAAAAATGACAAATGTCCAAAAACATAACAAGAATGTGCATCAAATTCAATCATAATAATAAAACATAATAAAAACATAATAAAACCTCTTCTCTTCTACTCACAAACACACATCTGGGATGGATTGAAAGTTTAGAATCTGCACTTTCCACACAGCTTCACCACTTGTTTCAGTGAGCTACGAGTCAGAAATGATTCATATAATATTACAGTATGATTGTGCTGTGGCTGATGATCTGTTTCTAAGGGTTAAGCGCGGCGCAGGGCGGTGCAATACCTGATGCAGGACCCAGTTTACTTCTTTAATCAGTCAAAAACAGGCCTGGGGTCGTTTCAAAGCCGGCTCATTTGATTTTGGGGGAAAAAAACAATACTGAATATTTGCGGAATAACTTTTATGTAACCACCCACTGCGGGAAGCACAAAGCCAGAGCCAACTTGAAAGGGGTTTCCAGTACAAAGGCGGCAGAGAGCGCGAGGAGAGGAGAGGAGCGTGGAGCATGTGGCAGAGAGCAGACCTCCCAAACAGAGCGGAAACACGACACACTCTGCTGGCATCAGCACAAAGGTCTGAGCAGAAAAAAATCAAACAGCCAATCATGATCATTACTGCAGTAATATCCTGTTTTCGCAGAACATGTGCTCTGATCGGGATGGAGCAATATTTGGATCTCTTGTTCTGGAGTTTTGCTGAAAGATGTCAGAACAGATATCGTCTGATAATGTTTCAATAGATGATGTTAAACAGGAGGGGCTTAGGCTGCGTCCGGATATTTACGAAATTAGCCCCTCCGTTTCCCCCCACCAGTTATTTTTCTTTTTTTAGAAATCTCTCCATCCACTCAAGAATACAAAAATGATGTCCAGCCCAGGAGGAGGCAATAAAACATCATACAATTTGAGAAGAATAAGTAGGACCGTGTGTGCGGCACAAACAATCAGGCAGAACGTCGTAGAGAAGCAGAGATGCTGTGTTGCAAATGCATCAACACAGTGGAAGTATAAAAGTATTAAGAAAACAAAGACGGGCAAACAAAACGGAGTCATGTGCTCTCTTAAAAAAAGATGGTTCTTCAAGGGTTCTTTAGTAAACACAATGATTCTGAACACTCAAAGAACAATTTGCATGCTTAAAGGGTTGCATGGTGAAAATCATTCTTCAGACTGATGGAGAATGTGTTGCTTGTTTTTACTAAATAACCCTTAAAGAACCTTCTTTTTTTAAGTGTGCAGAATGTCTAGAACCATTTCACCATGCAAAGACCCATTTAATCTTGCGAAGAGTGCTCATGGTTCTGTATAGAATCATTGCCCTTACTGAAGAACCCGTGAAGAACCATCTTTTTTTAAGAGTGTAGGGCTGGGCAGTAGGACAATATATATTCTTTAATACAATTTATTTAGTCTGTACAGTCTACTGACATATTAATGAACACACAGCCTGGACATTACACACACATTAAAAAATAGCATAACACACTAAAATATACTCCAAAAAGTGTAGAAAGAATGGGAGTTTATCCCGAAATTCAAGGGATGGCTGAAGCGCTATGTGGGCAATGGCACAAGACTGTAAGCCCTTCTGTAAGACAGACTTCTGCGCCAAGTTTTCTGATGTTAAGCGCATGCCAACTCATAAGCACGAGTCTAAGCCATGTAATATGCAAATGAGAACAGCTTCATTGGGAATTTGACTAAGGTTTCTGAAATGGAACCTGAAGACATTTCCAGTTCGGCAGTCAACATATAATTAAAATTTCCAATGTTTTATATATATGAAATTAAAAGTGGGGCAGTTCTAGTTTCATGTATTTTGACCATGATAACTGCTGTACTGTAATAATCTATGGTGAAGGCCGACTGATGAAACTGGATACTAACTCTGTAACTAACTTTGTAAACTCTGTCAGAAAATCATACAGTAGCTACCAGGGAGAGTGAAGCTGGTCAACTGGAACACCCAATAAAGAAAATGGGCAGCATGCATAAAAATAAATTATAATAGTCCGTAAAAGATTTGAATTTCTTGCTTTTCCCCTTGCAAGATTTGTGGCATACTAAAAAGGGCCTCAAAAGTCACTAGCAGTGCAGGCAGGGATGAGGCAGAGATACCACAAAAGACTCAGTGATTGTATGAGAACATAATTCATATCATATTAAATATTTTGGCAGAAAAAAAGAGACCAGTAGCTACAGAAAAAAGTCTAGTGGGTATTTGTAGATCACATGGTAGCTACATTCAAGTAGACTGTATGACTATACAAATCAGAGCCCAACAATCACCTGATGCAGTTCAAGTCCTGTAACTCCACCCCTGCTTTAACCCCTGGGTCACCCCGTATCTTGACGTTTGTGGTGATGTTGTGGACTCACTTGACACTTGTGAGCTTCAAGTTTTACACAGCAGTGTTCTCTAAAACTAGGCGAGAAAGTGGCAGATGTGGTCATTAGATAGCAGGAGCAGCCCCCTCTGCTGGCCAAAACAAGCATGTCGCGAGACGTCTGCCCGTCTGCTCTGCTGCAGGTATTTCTTAGGACTTTCTGGTGTGTTTTTAATTCACAAAACATGGACATTTCCAGCTGGGGACAGCTCCAGCCAGGGACAGGCGACCAAAAATGCGGACTGTCCCTGGAAAACTTGGACATCTGGTCACCTTGAATCCAGCTGTGTTAAAATACAGTAAAAGTGGGCACAGTTGGTGGAGAGAAGCAACCAGATGTAACGAGCTGACACCATCTGACACTAGGCAGAATGCAAAGACGACGTAATCTAACGACATTTAGCGACTCATCAAGCAGGTTTTAGCTACTTTCCACTGAAAGCAGTTGCAAGGAAACTCCTTGCTGTGGTGAAAGAGGCTGAAATGAAAGTTGTTCAGTTGCAATGTTTGTATGTTTGCATGCTCTTGTCACAGAAACACCCCACGCAGCCCTAAAGTGAGCACATAGACACGGCGTCCTGTTCTGCTTCCACTCACTGTCCCTTCGGTCTCTTCACTGGACTCCAGCTCTACTCTCACTACAGCTTATACCTGTGTGTATGTGTGCGTATGTGTCTCTCTTACCTCTTGTCTCCTGTTCCTCGCAGCCTGTGACTGCCATCCCGTGGGGGCCGCGGGCAAAACCTGTAACCAAACTACAGGCCAGTGCCCGTGTAAAGACGGTGTGACCGGTATCACATGCAACCGCTGTGCTAAGGGCTACCAGCAGAGCCGCTCGCCCATTGCCCCCTGCATAAGTACGTGGACCACCTCTCAACCATCATTAAATGGTGCACTCAGAAAACATAGGCTCAGAGCACTGCTTCCCAAAACTGGTCCTGGACGTACCCCTGTCCTGCAGATTCACAGATTCAGATTCAGGCCAGAGCACACGACCAAACAAACAACAACAACAACAAAAATAATTATTTTATTGCTGGAAGAATCTAGAATCTCTTCTTCTTTTGGATTGTCAGAGTTAGGATGTTTCTGTAATACGGTTCCTGGTGTTCCTCAATGGTTCTTGGCTTGGACATATGATTCAGCCTAGAGTTGAACATAATGTGGAGGTTCACCTTAAAAAGGTTCCTCACACTCAGACATATCATTAATAAATATTTCCTTACAGATCTATCGATTGAATGGTTCCTATGGGGAGCTTCTATGGCATTACTCCAAAGAACCCTGTAGCGCCGTTATTTTTAAGAGTGTAATCAGGTAATTAACAGCTTTCTTGAGTTGAAGAGCACTAAAATGAGCAGGGCAGAGGGGTCCAGGACCAGGGTTGGAAACTATTAGTTTAGGTATCTTCAAACATTGCGATTTCTCTAGTGTTCTCAGGAAAGTATAAAATAGTGGATTCATTTTCAAGTGGATCGAGTTAAAAGACTGAGCCCAGTCTTCATTAAGGGTTGATTACTGGTTTACCGCCTAATTAATACCTTAAGCTTAGAGCCAGAGAAAGTCAGCAACACACGAACAGTTGTATTGACCGTATTGGTCTTTAATGATATGAGCCAATAAGTCAACAGATAAATAACCAGGTCACATCAGTTCCAGCAGTTCCAAACATAATGAAACTGGCACGGCAATGAATTCAGCCAGCTTGATGACCAAAACCACCCTTGATTTCAAGCAAACGTTTTTAATTGGTGCTTTTGTCAATGAAACAACTCTTGGAAATGAAAGAGCGCTCTAAGAGAAACGAGTCACTCTGGAGACCTTCCTGGCAGGGAACGTAGAGAGCTAAATTAAAGCTATAAACTCACTGGAATATGATATCTTTGATTTTCCTGGGAAAGTCGTATGCATGTATGTGTGAAACTTGGAAAGACGGACGTCCTTGTGGTATAATTGAGAATATTTAGTTTCGCTCATAATTGCGAAGTAATCTGTTTTTGTTATATTAGTCCAAATTAATTTAATCCACCCTGGACGGAGCAGATTGGATTGGAGAACGAGGACTGGAATCAGTCATTACCTTCACCATACATAACCTCCTATGATTTTAGGAACAAGCTGGTGTCAACAAAAAATGAAACTTAATGCCATGTCCCCAATCAGCTTAAAGAAAATGAAAAGGGAGAATGCAGTCCAAGTAGTTCAAGGAATGCAGCATGGAATAATGGGCTTTCCCAGCTTGAATTCCACTGCTTAATCAGTTTTGTTCTAAAACATTTTATGAATCGAATATGGTACCATAATAAAGACCATACCCTAATGCCACAAGTTTTGTTCATTGGCAAAGGCAACCCGGTCACTAATGGCCTTTCTTAGCTCCAGGCTTTTTACTGAGTCATTGCTTAACGAGTTTTATGAGATTTATTTGAGCACAGATGGAAGATGAAGATGATTGATTTCCATAGGCAGAAGACTTGATTCTTTCTTTCTTCCTTCCTGAATCTCCCCCATGCATGCACACCAGCACCACAAAGCACCTGCTCACTCTTTTAAAAGCTACTTCTTTATTACAACAGATTTCTCTCTTGATGTTTAGTCCTTTGTTTTGTCCCGTTGTCTTTACTTCCCGTGCATTTCTGGAGAATTTATGTGCAAATGTGTCTGAAGTCAAAAGTCGTAACACCGTTATTATTTATTCCACTTTTGGGAATATACTGCCCCCATGCATGGCTTCATTAAGTGTTACTTCCTTCCAATATAAACAAATCGACAAATGAAAGGAGGGATGAAAGAATCAAGTCTTTTGCAGCTTAAGCAAATGAAGGCATTCCCCAAGTAACAATATTAGGGCCATTCTAATTGCATATTTTATACTGTTTAACAGTATAAAATGGCAATGACCCAGAATCAGAATCACTTTATGTTGTCACATATGATACATATATGAGAAATTAGTCTTGGTAAGTCACGCATGTATGACATTAACACACTGAGCACACTCGCCAAGGACAGACTGTTAATAAATATTTCTTGAAGGGACAAAATAAATACAATTAATAGAAAAGAATAATCATAAAGAGTCAATATGAAAGGATTAATAAAAACACAAGGTTTAATCTACATTTGTTCAGTGATGTATTAGCTTGATTTTTGTATCTAATTATTGCTAACTATGTGTTCTTTGTTGGAAACAGAAATTCCAGTTGCGCCACCAACAACCACAGCAAGCAGCCCGGAGGAACCAGCAGGTGAGCTTATTTGTTTATGTTTTACAGCACTTCAGTTAATGAGGAGCTTCAAATTAACATGCTGTGTCGACTGTACTGTATATTTTATCGACCAAAAATCAATATGCATCTCTCTTTGCACCACGCTGCCATCCACATGTGGCTTCGCAAAAACCCGTTTTGGAGGCTTCTTCGCCTTTGCCTCGCTATGGTTCATAAATTTTGAATCAATTAGCCATGGCCTGGAGCTCTCACCGCTTTAATCTTTAACTCCGACTCCAATTAATTCGTCTAAGTGGCTCGCAGTGGGGTGTTGAAGTGCTGCAGTGCTGGGCCTTGTTCCTGTTGATTTGTTGATTTTATTATTTTCTCATTTCATGATCCCACAAGTGGGATTTGACTCTCCCTCGCTAATCCGGGAGAGGAACTGCTGAACATTTTTTGGAAAATATCTTCTTCCCTAGATTAGCTCCCTTGACACGCCTTCGCTCCCAGCACGTCCAACACCACGAGGCTTAGAATGAGGAGAAAGAATCCCAGAATTAACTTCCAACGTTTGCCAAATTTTTCTCTCCATCATTACATATTAAAACAAGCGTACAGACACATTTGCACAGCTGTGTCAATCCAGATTCGGATCAGAAGTGGCTTCTACTTATTTATCAGACATTGTTTTTTTTTTAAAAGAGAGAAAAAAGAAACATTTGCGGAATCTGGAGCGAATGAACATGTTTTGGTTTTGTCCGTGCGGAAAGAAAGTTTTTGTTGAAGAAATGTTCGTCATTCTCACGGACGGTGGAATCCTGGCGTGCGAGAAATCGCTGCAGCTGTTGGTGGACCGTTGCGGGTTTCTAATGCTTCACTGACAGATAAGATTGACAGCAGAGCTGCTGGGATACTCTCTCTCTCTCTTTCTGCCTCTCTCTCACCCCGAAACCATACCCATACCTTCCCCCTTCCTCTCTGCCTTTAGCAACCCCCCAAATCCTTCTTTTCCCCCTGAGCAAACCTCTCAAACCTCCTTCTTTACCTCTACACATTTCTTCACATTAGATGAGCTAAGATTAGATTCGATTCTTTTATTGCCATTGCACAGGGTACAACAAAATCATGATGGTACATTCTCACATAACACAGCAATTGAAAATAGAAAAGAGTTCAAACTGTGTATAGCATACATTAGGTTCCAAGCTCATGTGTTCAGTTTGTTCTCTTCATTTTCCTTTATTCATCCATTCTCGCTCAGTTCAATTCCCCACTGGCTGGAGTCTTTTTTCTTTTTTGACTGGCCACTTTATAGCGTAGCGCTACAGCATTGTGAAAAACTTTTACAACCCATTCCAGTCAATGAACAGACAAAGAGAGGCATCACCATTTACTGCAATGTCTTTCCATCTGCTCTTCCTTCAAAACATGAACAACTGAGCTCACTCAACTGCACAAATGAGTACAAAATGTTTGACATGAATTTTGTATCAAAATGTCAAGCATGTTCACTGGAGTTCACTGGAGACTTTCAAAAAACATTCTTGGGTTTCAACCAAATGCCTGAATCAGAACTGGTATGGACATCATTTACAAGGAATTTCGAAACAACTTTGATTCATTTTTTACGACTGGAAAGTAGTGTCCAGTTATACCGGTTACTTCACGAAAGCGATGCATTCTGGAAAGTTGATTGAGCTTGGCAGACATGACTCGCAGCCTTTAGAATGTTTAACCCATATGGGTCGAGGGCAGCCGTCCACGGAAACTCTGGCGTTCCAAATCAAGCCAAGAGAAAGGTGGTGCAGGCGCACACCCACACATATCTGAGTGGCCCCGTCAAAAAAGGGCCCTCAGGACCACCCATGCTCCCTGCTATGAGAATGCATACATTATCCCATCTCTCAGACCCGGCTCACCTCATGACGGAACGGAGTGAAGAACATGATCTCATCCAACATGATGATTGCAAACAGATGTGCTGCTCTTATCAGGGCATCTACCCACCCTACACTTCCTCTACAGCCGCCGATGCAGCAAGAGAGGGCGAGTGACTCAGAGACAGAGAGCAAGAAAGAAAGAGAGAAAGGAAGAAAGACAGTGGTGTGACTTAGAAATTGTGGAACAGGTGTCTGGACTAATCATTGATGTGATCATTCAACAATCTGCTATTTTAATCCAGGATGAATGTCCAGTACTTGTACTTTTACAGTCTGACAGTAATAACTGTGGAGCGATTTTAATATGAATCTGCAGCGTGTGTAGTTTTTACATTCTGATGGTTATAATTGTGGAGCAGTTTTAATCCAGTATGAGTCTGCAGTGTGTGTAATTTCGTCTTGTGTGTGTCTTGTGGCATAACATGACAAGAACGTTATTTTATTCAGTACCCACTTTCTCTGGGGAAAAAAAAATCCAGATATAACAGTTGGTGAAGAAGGGAGGAAAGGTAAACAAACAGTGAAGAAGTGTCAGAAACATGAATTTGCCTTTACCACAGGACCATGTGTTGAAGAGGAATGCATGGCGAATATTTCCGACTGCTCAGCTTAGACAAAACACATATTATAAGGCGAGATCATGCTTGGAGTCGCCACTCCCAAACCCTGTTCAAGGCCACACACAGTTTTTCAGGTCTTCTAGAGATGTTCTCAGAATAACATAAAGGAAACAAATGCCAGTGCCTGTTGGCAACTGCAAGGTAAACAGTGACAACTGAGAATTTTAGCTAAGTTGTTTTTGTAACCTATTTTTTTTTACATCATAAACATCCGGCACTAGGCACTTGGCCCTCCCCAACAAGAGAGAAAGAAGATACAGAATGGCATTGTGCTCAGGTCCCATCATGAATACGAAAAGCTTCTGGGTAATTTATGGTTTCTTTACCCTTGTCTCACCGTCTAAAGCAGCTGAGGACGAGCCAGGTGTTTTGTGTACTGTAAAGAAGATCATCCAGCCTTGTTCTCCTGCCATTAGAATGGTGCCTCCATGCCCTGCACAAAAACAAAGGCTGCAAAGTCCCTGAAGCAGAACTGCATGCGCTGTCTGCTGTGTTTCTCAAACTGTCAGGATGCAGCAGACCCCTTTCCTTCTCTGCTCTTCAAACTGTGAAAAGAAAAAGAGAGCGAGAAAGAGCAAGAGGAGGGACGACAAGGCTCAGTTTTTGGAGAAGGTCCAGCACTCCATTGAGAGTGTACTCCAGCAGGAGTCTGGGGCTCTGGCTATAATCTAATTACATGCTTTATTTGCAGCAATTTGTTTCTCAATCAGTCTCATTGTGCAGAGAAAAAGCCTTCCCCCTGTGTGCTTTTTCACACCTCATTGTTACAGTTCCCAGATCAGTGTTGGGGGTTGAAACACAATACCTGTTGTACTGGAGGCATAAAGGAAACAGACCTGGGGTCAGCCTGAGGTTCCTTTGGGCTCAGTACAGTGTCTGGTTGTCTCTGGCCAATGAAAGGCCCTGCAGGGGAGATTGTCAGTGCTTTTCTATAGTTGGGGAAATGCTGAATCACACAGGCTCAGTGGACCGAAAGGTTGTTCTGTACCCAGTTTCAGTATGCACAGCTTTGCTTAGAGACCAGGGAGACCAGAGAATGTGTCCACCAATGGCTCTCACAACAGGGGTCTTCCACAGTCAGCTTGTAGCTGGTGCCTTGCTCTCTCATTCCCGCGATGTCAAACAAGCCTTACCTCCATGCTCTAACACCCAGCTACTCTCTTGTTCTCCACCGCTGCCAGCGGGACCTGACTCAGTCTCAAAAAGCTCTTCAGCCTTTTCCTTTCATTGAAAAGGGGGCGAGAAAAACATCCATTAAAGCAACACCTCCTTCTGTGAGAGCGTTGTGACAGGAGCTCGAGCTAAACCCACTTCCACTTACTCGAGAGGCGGCACAATCGGTACATTTGTCCAGCCGGTGGGGGACTCTGAGCTTTTCAATGGGAATCACTGGGTGCTCTTCACATCCCCGCGGACTTGCTAGTGAGAAATGTGGGCTATCAAAGGAAAGTATCATGATGCCATTAAACAGGGTTAAGGGAAAACAAAACCTGCTCTCGATAACCTCCATTTACATGGAAATGAGGCTGCCACTATATGGACTCTTCAATTTCATTTAGTTTGTCGTTTCGTTGCCATTTCTAATGTACTGTATTCATGTCCGTGCTGATTCGGGGTTTGTGGGACACCCTGCCCCCCCCTTTGGATCTTCCTCAGTCCTCAGCAACACCCCCCCTTGCCCCAACCACGAGCCCTGCAGTGGAACTACTCCTTTTCTCCAGCATTTTTTTCTCATGGCGCCGTTGTCTGGGCAACTTCTTTCAAATGGGGAGAAAAGGGTCTCTAAAAGAAAGTGAAAAGCAGGCATGGAGTGAGGGTCGCCAAAAAACAATGAAGTTTGTTCATATGCAGGCGAGCTGAAAGGACCCCCAACCCCTTACCGAAGAGTGCCGCCCCCACCAACCCTTCATCCATCTACTAAAAGAGAGACGATGTCAATGTGTGGGGTGGAGGGAATGCAGCAAAATGTCTGATTTAAATTGCACTTGTTTCTAATGTTGTAAATAGTGGTTCTTTGATTTGATTCTGTGGGGCTTTTGACACACAAAGCTCATCAACAGGCACTTGTGTCTCTGACACAACGAGAGTGATCAGTAAAAGTGCTTTAATCTTTATTTTGATAAAAATTCTCAAGTATCTTTCGGTGGGTTTCTGAGGGCCTTGCTAGCTTCTTGGTTAGACTTGAGAGGGAGCTTGCAGGACCTGAAAGAAAACACCCTGGTAAAATGCCACATATCTATTTGTCTTCAGCTCCTTTGTGAGGTATTTATTTTTGGACACCAAAAGGCCTTTTTCTTAACACTTCACAGGCCGCTAATTTTCCCCCTGACCTCCCATTGTGCTGCATCGACCCCCAGCCCACATTGCCACCTCCCTGGGTGCTGAACCAATAAATGCCAAAGGTTGAAATGCCCCTGGGGTCGGGGGGTCGGGGGGGGTGGGGTGGGGTGGGGGGGGGGCATAGGGTCGAACAGACGCAAGGGTTGAGTTGACAAGGTGGAGACGGGAGGGGGTCGACCCATAGGCCTTCCTCAGTCCCATGGTGGTACTTTGACAGCGGAGGGGGGGGGCGAGAAATTAGCATGGCGCTAAAAAAAGCACTGGGTGGCTTGAATGCTCTTGGCCCCAGAGGTCTCCCATCAGAGCAAGGGAGGGTCCAGACATCCAGAGAGCAGAAAGAGCAGGACCTTTTGTCTGTTGCTTTTCTAAAGGACTGAGGGCTCTCTCTGCTCAATGGCCCACAAGCCTCTATTAGAGCCGCACAACTGAAGGGGGCAGATGGGTGCAGCGTGAAGCATGGGCTCCCAAGATAGACGAGCTGTTTGGAGAAGTGTCTCTCTTTTTGTCACACTCTGTCTTCTCTTTTCTTTCTTTCTTTGGCAGAATGCATTTTAATTCGCCTATTCTCTTTCCCTCTCTCTCTCTCTCTCTCAAATACAGACTGCGACTCCTACTGCAAGGCATCTAAAGGAAAGCTGAAGATCAACATGAAGAAGTACTGTAAGAAAGATTACGGTAAGTTATAAAGTTGGCACAACACGGACACACAAAATGCGGGCGGCTAAAACCCGTGCCCTCTGCTACATCTATATTCCTCCTCTGAAGCCGAAGCCCCGAAGCCTTCGGTTCCCCAGGGCACCCTCAGCCTTGCCTCGCTCCATTGTAGTGATGGCTTACTCAGGGCTTTCAAGAAGAAAGTCAAAGGATCAAACAGGAGGAAAGGCCATCAGTGCAGGGCTTAGGGGAGGCTGTGGCGCTGACGGACAGCCCAGCAGGTATTTAAGCCCAAAGCGGATCAAGTCAAGGCAGTGTGACGGACAGAGGGGAGCAAAGTGCTTGGGTAGATCCTCATTAAGGGAGGAGCTGGTCCCACAGCAGCATTCCTGAGGCCAGCAGGCATTCTCTTGTCTCTGAATGGAGCAGATGTGCAAGCCCCTCTCTCCCTCCGAGGTGAGGCTGTTTCATCAGTCAAGCAAGACACAGAGGAACTTAAAGAGCTTAGCAGCTTTAATGACAACCAGGCCACTCTTACAGCTTGATTCATCTTATTTGTATGGTCGCCATAGACACACCTAAGGTACAAAAAAGAGAAATGACATATAAAATGACTCAGACAAGAGGCAGTTCTGCCAATATCCATAAAGGTCCTGGTAAGTCACAGCTAGTAATGTAACCTAACTTGGTAAGTCTTTTTACTCTGGCATTATTACCATTTTATTTAGTACCCTGATGTCATGTTCTGAGACCAAAGAAAAATGAAATTCCTAATAAAAAAGTGGCAGGGGCCTAGTGCCATAGTACCAGGCAACTACACTGAACCCAAATGGACAAAAAACCTCAGGGAGGAGAATACTAGCAGTGTCCCATCGACAGGCAGGCAGGGTAGAAGATGAGTTTTCCTGCAGGCCTGGCACGTGCCTTGCCTACAGTAAAGGGGACCCCATCAGGCGAAGAGCAGCAGGTCTACCACCCTCCTACAGGTTCATCTCTGCATGGGTTCCTCCTCATCTCTCTAGAAGCTGGACTGCAGGGGGAATACATTACCTTCAGCCCATTTACTCTTTTAATATGGCCCCCGCAGGGTCAGCATACAGTGCCTCTCAAATAAGAATTGTTGGCTCTTTTCCCCACTACCCTACTGTGGATGATCCCGAACGAGCCCCCCTTTTTCTAAACATTAAACCTAATCCACTTTCCCTCAGCTCCTGCTTCATCAGGGGGGCTTTGTGTGCTAACAGCACGGGGGACGCGACTGCGCCGGGCATTGAAATACAGGAGGGAATTGGCTGAGGTCCCTCTCAGAGTCAGAATCAAGCCATAAATTCTCAGAGTCAGAATCAAGCCATAAATTCACTGTATAATACAAAATTTAATGTGCCTGTCTTGGTGTTTGGTCACAACACACCACATTAAAATCAATTTAGATCAATTTTACACCCCAATATTTTCCTGCAATACACACAGTTTCATCCTGTGGATGTGTGTGCGTAAGTAGGAATATAAATAAAATATTATAATGATAGTACAGTGCAAATGGCCCAAAATGCCGTCTAGCCAGTGAGATCAATACCAAACCAAAACAGTTATAATGGCATGCTGTTCTTTCCTACCAAAAGCTTGAGCGGTGGGAGGTGTCGGCGATGATTAGGATAGATGCAGTGAAGGGGTGCTAGTGGCTAGCGGTTAGCATGTTTGCTTAGGGGCACCAGAGCAAGCTGGGCCACAGCTGCGCCATCTCAATTAACACCGCAGTGCAGTCGAGATTACCGCCGCACTGACAAATGGCGTCCGAGAAAACCCTAACAAAGTGACACATGAATGTATTCAGTTTGATCAACTATACTGTAAAGTTTTAGCTGTGGGTTCATGGTGTCTCTAATTGCCCCATTTTCTGTCTGGCCTTTTGTGAGGAAAGACCCTAAATCTCACAAAGTTTGCTCAACTGTATCAACACAAGTGAAATTGATAAAGAGGAATAAAAACGTGTGTCTGCTGGACCCGGGATCGGCCTTTGATGAGGGCAGTTAGCTGTAGAGAGCGTTTGAGGAGCTACAGAATGAATAATGCCTCTCTGAGGCCCCAGTGAAAAAAAACACTGCTATGTCCAGAGGAGAACAGTCATCCTGCCTGATGACACACCTTCCTTTGTTGTATGTATCCTTTATGACTAACACATCCTCCATAACACCAGCCATTCCTTAAAATTGAACACTCCCATCTCATCTCTTAACGCCTGAGCACGGAGACTAGGCAAACACAAACACCAACAAACAAACGTCTGGTTGATGTTCCATAACTGAGTTTGATGGCTGGGAGAATCTAGAATGTTCTCTCACCACTACTCTGGTTCATTTGGCTGGTCAGTTCTTTTTCTGGACATTCTGCACACTTAAAACAGATGGTTCTTCAAGGGTTCTTTAGTAAAGGCATCATTTGGATGCTTAAATAGTTCTTTAGATTGATGGAGAATGTGTTATATAAAAATTGTTTGTATAGCACCCAAAAGGGTTCTTCTGTTGTTACCAGCTTGACATCGTAAGAATAGCAGAACCATTCTGGTGCTATATAGAAACATTTTTTTTAAAACAAGAGAATGATTTCTCCATGCAAAGAACCTTTTAAGCATCAAATGGGTCTTTATGGAAGTCCTGGTTCTAAACAGAACCATTTCCTTTACTAAAGAACCCTTTAAGAACCATCTTTTTTAAAGAGTGTAAAAACAACTGCAAACACTGCCGACTGCATAAGACATTTTAAGTATATTATATCAATTTAAAGCTGTAAATTTAAACTTAAATTTTGGAAATTTAGGACGAAATCTATCTAAAAATAAATTTACATTTATTTTTTTACTTTGCACGAAAACCTAAAGCCACATAATAGTGGGAAGCAGAGCGGCATGCACATCTAAGCAGTTTCAGTTCTCAAAATTCTCTGCCGCATTACTCTGTTTACATATACACTACTGGTCAAAATAATTTCATTCATATTAAACCAATTTTGCATGAATAAAATTATTCTATAATGAAACTAATTTCTTAGAAGGTTACAGAGTTCAGAAGCTGTAAAAATGAAGATGTTTTGGATGATAAACGAAACTGGAAGTGATTTCATGATAAGTGATAAATCTGTACAGAACTGAGAATGAACTGATAAAGTAGCTGACAGTATGAGTTATTATTGAATAACAGTTATTATTATGACAAGAGACCCCAAACTTTTGAGCGGTGGTGTAAATCCACACAAACGAAAGGGTTAAATGAAAAGACACAGATGATGTAATTATAGAGGCAAACTTTTCAGCATGTTTGGAAGTTAAACTAAACAAGCATGCCACAGCTTGGTACAGTGAAAGTCGTGAGTGTGAACTTAGCATGTAGGATGAAGAGCAAATATTTGTTCTGCCTTTGAGATTAAACCGCTCTCAGAATGTTTTGTCCTTGTCTGTTTGATCTCACAGCCGTCCAGGTCCACATCCTGAAGTCCGACAAGGCTGGAGAGTGGTGGAAATTCACAGTCAACATCATCTCCGTCTACAAGCAGGGCGAGAGCCGAATTCGCCGGGGCGACCAGCTGCTGTGGGTGAGGGCTAAAGACGTAGCCTGCAAATGTCCCAAGATCAAAACCGGCAAGAAATACCTTCTGCTGGGCAACGACGAGGAGTCCCCCGGCCAGGGCGGGGTGGTCGCGGATAAGGGCAGTCTGGTCATTCAGTGGAGGGACACTTGGGCCCGACGACTGCGGAAGTTCCAGCAGCGCGAGAAGAAAGGCAAATGCAAGAAGGCGTAGGGCGGAGAGGGTCAAACAGATTACCATCCAGAACTGGACACAGAAACAGAGGAGCCATGGAAAAAAAGAGGGAGCGGGGGGATGAGGGAAAGGAGAGGGAGAAGAGGGACTGACCGCCGCCGCTTTGAGCTTTGAGCAGAGGGATGAAGAGAATGGTTTCTATAAACAGGAACTGTTGTGAAGGAGCTCACCTTGCAGTTTTTTTTTTTGTTATTCATTTCCTTCAAGATTTGTTTTCGTGGATTTGCCAAGTTTGCACCAAGTTCATATTCATTCACACATATTCATACATATATACGTATTCATATATATACATATATATACATATATGTGTGTGTGTGTGAGTGTGTGGGGTTAGATTGAAAATAAGAACGTCAACACATTCAGAAACACAATTTACAGATTGCCAAACAAGACTTGGAGGAAAAAAATGCAATGGCATTTTTCTCGTCATTCACTTGTAAGCCTGTTCTGTATTACAAACATCAACCACGTTTGCGCATGATATTTGGGATTTATTTTGGAAAAGAAAAATGAATGATCAGACTAATTTTTTCCAGACTTTCACATACAGTTTTTGTTTTCAGCGTTTCAGTCTCTGAATATCTGTCCAAAACTTGGTTCCTTTTTATGTTAGCATTTTAAACACACACACACATAAACACACACACACACACACACACACACACACACACAAAGTCTTTAAAAAACAAAAAGATTCAGGATTTAAGGAAATGGTAAAATTATGCATAATTTGACAAAAGACCTGAATGTAAGGGTTGCCAAACATGATTCCACATCACCATCATTCACTTCAAATGTGGACAACAGTGTAAAAAATGTACAGTATAAAATGCATGTTTTCTTTATCTTACTGCTAATTCCAGAAAATCTGAAAACTGGTGCTGCTGTGTGACACAAAACACAACATAGTGATTTGAATGTGTTTACTGGATGGTCATTTCCCAAAAAAAAAAAACAAACAAACAAAAAAAAAACATTCAACAATATCTGGGGTTTACTCAGACTGCTCTGAGCGTTCAGAATGACCAGCAACACAAGAAAAAGTATTGTAGCTTGAGTTAGAATTTCATTGTGATAAAGTTCAATTTACAAGATTTTTTATACTAAGTTAAAACGTTTTAATTTTAATTTGAAACACACTCCTTTCTTTTTGTACTTTTTGATCAGGTCACACTGCACTGTAAAAAATGGATCAGTAGATCAACCTAAAAATTACTTTAAGTAGTAACAAGCAATTGAACTAGTTTTATTCAACTCTTACATTGATTGAAAGAATCAAGTACATTGATTGAAAGAATCGCTCATTCAAAGTATTTTTCTTAGGTTGAATAGCTAATTTACTTCTTATCACATGAAGTAATTTTTTTAAGTTGATCTGATGAGCCATTTTTTTTTACAGTGTGCAGCTCTGTAGAGCTTTGTTTAATGCTCAGTGTATCTGTGGAGATTTTATACGGTTTATATTTTAGAAATATTTTAGGTTGTAGGTGAGCAACATTTTCAGTTAGTTAGCTTCAGTGTTATACAGGCTGTTTGACTACCAAAACTATTGAACCCTATCTAATATTGAATTAAAATAATTGTATTGAATTGTATGTTTTCTCAGCCCAGCCTGAAAACAAACAGATTATCAGTAGTTTTAGCATTTAAAATTATGAGAAAAGGCAAAAATATCCCACATTATTCGCATCACTAATGAGCTATATCTATTTTTGAATTTACCCTTTGAATTAAATTGTGTATTTTTTTATATATAACACTGTGAGCTGACTTGCTCCGACGCCTTGTTTACGTACTGGTAAAATTGCAGAAAAGCAATAAAAACATAAAATGAAAAACATTTTTTTTTCCTGAAATTAATAAACAGTTGGCAATTACAGTTTTTGAGTAAAACAGTATTTAGAACAAACTGTCTTTAACCTCAACTTAATCTACTAGTAAGAATATTTAGATTGAAAAAGCAACAGTGACCCAAATCGTACATAGTGAGAAAAATAAAACAGAAAAAGAAGAACAGAGTCGAGACCCAATCGCCTCGTTTTATCCTGGGATAATCCGCCACAAAGCCCGCGCAGCATCAGCACTGAAGCCTCTGTGGAGCTCGGTTCCTCGCTTTCCTCAGGCGGCAGATCCGATTTCACACGCTCGCTGTTCCTGGACAGAGTGTTTGTTCTAAAGGACGGAGGACGCATGAGTGCTATACAAGTGTGATTATTACAGTTTATGTAAATGTACATACGACCGTATGGTTCCATATCACATTGTGCTGGTTGACCTTCATATATTTATACATACGATGCATTTACGTGTTACTTTTTACATCATAATACTCATGGATTCCACTTGTAAATGTATTCATTTTTGGGCACTCGGTATATAAATCAGTCTATACAATATTCCTATGATGTAAATTTAAGTTTCTCTGTCTTTTTTTAATGGAAACACGGCTGCCGTATTTCACGTGACGATCAGACCTGTCGGAAAAAAAACACACTGCTTTTTGTTCATACTATGAATTGTAAATTTAATAAGTCTGCAATATTGTTTTACAATGCGTACTAATATATTACGGTTATTATATATGGAAGTATTTAATGACAGGACATTGTGGAACTTTTCTTGTCTTTTTGCCTTCTTTTTTGTTTGTTTATTTGGTTTTGTTTTTCTCTTTTCTTTCTTTTTTTGTTTTTTTTGGTTTTTTTTTGTTACAGTTTGTGGTTGTTTAGGTGGTTGTGATTAAACCAGAGAGGAAGAGTAACTACTGAACACCAATCTGGTCAGACCTAAATGAAGCATTCAAGCTGGAATAAAAGCTTTTATGTCACTACTGTTATCTTCATCCACTCTGAATTACGTGCTTCAAATGATCATCACTGGTTTTTATTTGATTTGGCTGGTTTAAAAAAATCCGTTTGAGGGGATTCAATAAAAATAAAACTCTTTGATTTCCAGCTGTGAATAGAAATGGAGAAATACTGTCATATTCCTTTCTGTGTTTTAAGGCTAATGTTTTAAAAGCAACAGAAATCACAATGAAACTTTGCCACTTCATTACTGAAATTCTTACAAGTATTTTTTTTTGTATGTGAATAAAAAATAGATATTCCAATGAGATTTCTAATTATACATGTATACATTTGCATATTTAAATGATCCAGGCTTTGAATGACTTAGAATGAAAAGGTTTATTTTAAATGATTAGACTCGCTTCAAAGAAATTATTTAATTTTATAAGTAATATTATTACTTTTATTACTATAAGTAATATTATTTTTCAGGTAATTTTGTATAAAATCAAGCTTAAAATTAGGAAAATATTTTGGTCATATTCTCCAGAATAGAGTTAGCAGTTAACATGCAAATTTTAAATGCAGAGATTTTGGGTTCAAAAGTCTAGTTTTTGTAAAATATTCTACAGAAAACAGTGATGTATGACATCATGAAAATGTAAGCCTTCATTATATTTGAGTGTAGACAAATCAACAGAACACACTGAAATAACCATATTTCTGTCGAGTTTTGATGTTTTAAACACTACAGCTTAAGAGAAGATGTTGTTTATGCAATTCATCCAAAATCTTAAAAATTTCTGCGACCAAAATCGCCTGAAGACCCTCTTTCATAGTGAATACAATTCAAAAATTTCAACACTTTTCACAGATTTTTTAATAGTGTCTTTAAGCCTTGGCTTACAGTTGTTAAATGTAAATGTACAATCATTAGAAATTGCAACAATTAGGCTAAAGCGTACTGACCAGAAATGAGATACGAAAGCAAATAATGTTGTAATCTGATCCTCACGCTATAAAAAACTGTTTGCTGCTTTAGAATTTTGAGCTAGTTGAGTTTCTAATAAAAAGTTAACAGAACAAAAATCTGTTTTACATACTGGTAACTTATTTTTTGAGTTTCAATGAGCTCAAAGTTTTAAGGCAGCACAGTTACTTGTAAGACAATTTTTTTACACAGTGTAACAATAGCTGGAATATTTCAACTGACATCATAAAATCTTTACAGAAGGGGTTAAATGCAGGATGAATGCGCAGATGTGGTTAAAAGAGAACAATTTTTAAAAAAAAAATTCTGCATAATTCAGAGATTGAGATCATTTAGAGTGTTTTTGTGTGAAATGGTTCAGATTTCTTTACAGTGTTGGTGATAGGAACCATGGGGCACCATGACGACAACACAAAATAGACATTTTATTTACTATCCAAAACCACCAGTGAACCTACAAGTGTCTTCTGAGTTTCATATGGAATGTTGATGGGAAAATAGTGGAAAATCTGAAATAATCAGTTTTCTTTGGGGATTATTTTGCCTCACAGCACCCTGCATATTATGTATCCCTCCACCATGAATGGAGTTTAAAGCCAAAATCTTCTCAAAACTAGCGTAAAATGATGTCTTAGGCAGTGTATTCATAACCATTGCATGTCATAACTTTCTGTAAGGGAGCTTTTAGAGGTGGGCGTCCGGTTCCTGTCACCACCACTGTGAACAATTATGATTCTATAAGTTTTTCTAAAACAGAGCGTTTCACACCAAACCACTCTGAATGACTTTGTTCACACTGTAACCATTTAATTATGCAGAAATGTATGGGTGGAATTCCCCTTTAAGCTAGAGGAGCACTATGGTTAGGGGTGATTTACTCACTTTATTCACATTTATGGTGTATTTATTGCACACAGAGCTGCGATTTTCCAAACTATTATTGTTTTTCAAAAATGTTGTTTTCCTTAGAAAATGAACTAGAACAGTAGGTTGTTACGAAGAAATCACAGGAGTACAGATACGAGATTTTATGTTTTGTAAGACTTCTCCTTGGCTCATGATTTTGGAAACAATGGTACCCTCCAAAAGAGTAAAAACAGTAGTATGTGTGCAGTAGGAGTGGTCAGATCAGTGCACCACAATTTGTCCTTCAGCATCTGTGCAGAAAGTCCGACCTACAGTGCTCTCGCTTCATTATGTCGGCCACGCTGCCACCACAATGATGGCAATCAGCAGCAGCACGATCACCACCAGCATACCTGTTCAAAACACAGACATATATATGATAAATACATTAAACCACAGTCACTGTGGACAGACACTTTAGTACTGACCCGAGCCCAGCTATGTACATGTAAGCTGTTTAAAGGGCCCAGATCATAAAAAAATAATTCTTTCCACTTTTGTGAAATAAAAGAATTTAGCTTTTTTTGGAAACATGGTTAAAGTTTCAAACAGAGTTGAGCTGATAGACGATGCCCTCAACCAGACATCACAATGTTGAGCCAGCATCATGATGCCACAACCCTCCGCAAACCCCTGATTTTGTCATCGGTGAGAATTTCCAGTGTGTAATTCCGCTGAACAGCTCTGCAGTGAAGATGCTGTGTATGAAGAAGCTGTAGAGTTGCTGCTGCAACACTCGTGTCACGCGGAGGTAGGCAGTGTGGGATGGAGTGATACTGGAGTGATTACAGAACATAAGAGAACACTGACACTCTGACTTCTGACTTTAAAGTAGGTTTTTTCCTTCTCCTGTAAAGTTATCATTTTGGCTATCTATCTATCGATCTATCTATCTATCTATACATATACTAATTAATATATATTATATATTAATTATATATCGCTGTTGTCAGAAGAAAACCTTGTATCTCCAAAATGGTGACTTTACAGGAGAAGGAAAAAACATACCTTTTAATGTAAATCAGTGGAACCAGACTTTTTTTCCAAGTCATTTTGGGTCATTTCTTTTGGTCCATTCATCATTAAATTTACATACAATGTAAAGAGCAACAGGTATTTTCAAATTATGTCAAAAACTGAAAAACAACAAAAATGGAGATGGTTTTCTTCCGACAGCAGTGATCTATACTCTAAGATATAAGTTATGGTATCACTGTGAAGATATTTTCTGTTCTCAGGCTGATTACTGGTAGAGTTCCATGTAAATATTAACAACATTTAATCCTGAATTTTACCCCAGTTATGAAAGTACATAAATTTCACTCCTGGGTCAGACTCATAAGCCAGACTGGTC